CGCGACTAAGACAGAAACAACTTTTAAACGTTTCCTCCTTGCAACAACGGTGCTTTTGGGGGCAAACACAACAGTTCTGAACAAGCATACATAAAGTGCGAAAAGCTATAAGTAATAGAACATTCTTAACCAAGTTCAATCGAACTCGGACTGCAGTCATATGCCAGAACAAAAGGTCGCCAAGTAGTTAAATGAATGCAACAGACTCACTCAGCATTTGGAGCTCATGTGCCTTCATTCAATCATTGTATGTATAAAAAATGACCTGTCAAAATGATGATGACAAATTAATTGACCGCTAGTCACTAGTGGTCATCAGAGCCACTAGCGAGACTCGATTTTACGAGTACTCGTGCGCTTAAGCTTTATGTAGAATCTTGAGGAGGATTAAAATGACTTTGAACCTTACCATTTGGGTTGGGGTCATTTATATTTCTTCCGTGTTAGGGATCACTGATCTTTGTCATCGCGATGGTGGCATTTTAGGCTGTCGCTTATCGGTGTCGGTGATTACTGGCCAGCAGCACTGACCACTGGTAACCAGTGGCCAGTGGGGCAGCTGACGAGGCAAGAGTTACAGGTAAAAGCACGCTTAATCGTTAATTCGAAATCCGACAGACTCCTACGGAGTTTAGCTGCTAGAATTCATTCGCTTTCACTCCTTTGTCTCTTAGCAGTGCAGCGTCAAGGCGACCGACCTTTGTCATTGCGATGGTGACAAATGGATGCGTCGCTGACCCCTAGCCACTACCACTCATTATCACCTGGCAATTATTGCTGACCATCGGTCGTTGATGGACATCGTCGCATGACCCATGAAGTTCACTTTGCAAATGCTGCTGCTTAAGTAATGCATTACACAAAATGCGGCAGATGACTTGAAACTCTTTCAGATACCTTAGCATTTAGAGCTCATTGACATTCTTACAAGTCGACTATCGTCTGTTACCACAATCGAGACAACTCGCCTCGCTGCAGACCACTTGTCAGCAAGATGAATGAGCAGCAGTATGTTGTAATCAGTAACAAGAACATATAACTGGACAGAAAACTTAAAACTATTTCATACGCGAATATCTCCTATAGCTCTTCCTTACAATAGCTGAATGCCTACGTTCTTTCAACAACACCTATCGCTTCGACC